TATTATCAAGTGTATAATGTAGTGTATAGTGTAGTGTATTATCTAGTGTATAATGTAGTGTAGTGTATAGTGTAGTGTATAATGTAGTGGAGTGTATAATGTAGTGTATAGTGTAGTGTATTATCAAGTGTATAGTGTATGTATATCTAGTGTATAATGTAGTGTAGTGTATAGTGTAGTGTATAATTTAGTGTAGTGTATAATGTAGTGTATAGTGTAGTGTATTATCAAGTGTAAATGTAGTGTATAGTGTAGTGTATAATGTAGTGTAGTGTATAGTGTAGTGTATAATGTGTGTAGTGTATAATGTGTATAGTGTAGTGTATAGTAGTGTAGTGTAAAGTGTAGTGTATAGTGTAGTGTATATGTAATGTATAAGTGTAGTGTATAGTATAGTATCTAAGTGTAGTGTATAATGTGTGTAGTGTTAGTATGTAGTGTAGTGTATAGTGTAGTGTGTAGAAGTGTAGTGTATAGTGTAGTGTATAAGTGTAGTGTTAGTGTAGTGTCTAAGTGTAGTGTATTAGTGTATAGTGTAGTGTTAATGTAGTTTATAAGTGTAGTGTGTATGTAGTGTATAAGTGTAGTGTATAGTGTAGTGTATGTATTAATAGTGTAGTGTATAGTGTAGTGTATAGTGTAGTGTATAAGTGTAGTATAAGTGTAGTGTATAGTGTAGTGTATAATGTAGTGTATAGTGTAGTGTATAAGTGTAGTGTATAAATGTAGTGTATAGTTAATAATGTAGTGTATAAGTGTAGTGTATAATGTAGTTTATAAGTAGAGTGTATAATGTAGTGTATAAGTGTAGTGTAGTGTATAATGTAGTGTATAAGTGTAGTGCATAATGTAGTGTATAATGTAGTGTATACGTGTAGTGTATAATGTAGTGTAGAAGTGTAGTGTAGTGTATAGTGTAGTGTATAATGTAGTGTCTAAGTTTCGATTTAAAGCTTTCGTTACTGCAGGGATTCATCTTCTTGGTTCTTTCGGTAAAGTCACGTAGAAGGGAAGTAATAAAATAATAAAAATAAAACATTATAAAATAAAATATTATTTTATTATATTATATATTGTTTTATTTTTATTCTTTTATTACTTCCCTTCTACGTGACTTTACCGAAAGAACCAAGAAGATAGTGTCTAAGTGTAGTGTATAGTGTAGTGCAGCGGTCGGGAACCTATGGCTTGCGAGCCATATATGACTCTTCCAGTGACGGCATATGGCTCCCGGACAATTTTGAGTTTTAAAAAAAATAATAATGAAAAAACAAAAAATCAGTTTGGAACTGATTTTTAAATATTGTTTCATAATAGTGTGTCATTTTAAAGTAAACAGAAATTAGTTTTGAAGATAAATGTCACGGGTCACGCCTGCACGAAGCTCAACCTCACCACGTACGAACCAGACTACAAGGCCATCAGCAAAACCATGCAGCACCAGAAGTCGCATTAAAAGTGAGACATTTTTTTATTATACGTTAAAAATACCATATGGCTCTCAATGAAATATATTTAGAAATATTTGGCTTTTGGCTCTCCCAGTCAAAAAGGTTCCCGACCCCTGGTGTAGTGTATAGTGTAGTGTATACGTGTACTGTATAGTGTAGTGTATAGTGTAGTGTATAATGTAGTATAGTGTGTGTATTATCTAGTGTATAATGTAGTGTATAGTGTAGTGTATTATCTAGTGTATAATGGTGTATAGTGTAGTGTATTATCTAGTGTATAATGTAGTGTATAGTGTAGTGTATTATCTAGTGTATAATGTAGTGCATAATAGTGTGTATAATGTGTGTAGTGTATAATGTGTATAGTGTAGTGTATACGTGTAGTGTGTAGTGTAGTGTATACTGTAGTGTATAGTGTAGTGTATATTGTAGTGTATAATGTAGTTATAAGTGTACTGTAGAGTGTAGTGTATAGTGTAGTTTATAATGTAGTGTATAGTGTAGTGTAGTGTAGTGTATAAGTGTAGTGCATAATGTAGTGTATAATGTAGTGTATAATATAATGTAGTGTATAAGTGTAGTGTATAGTGTAGTGTATAATGTAGTGTATAGTGTAGTGTTGTGTGTAGTATATAATGTAGTGTATAGTGTAGTGTATAATGTAGTGTCTAAGTGTAGTGTATAGTGTAGTGTATAGTGTAGTGTATAGTGTATATAATGTAGTGTATAATGTAGTGTATAAATGTAGTATATAATGTAGTGTATAGTGTAGTGTGTGTGTATAATGTAGTGTATAAGTGTAGTATACAGTGTAGTGTATAGTGTAGTGTATAATGTAGTGTATAAGTGTAGTGTATAGTGTAGTGTATAACTGTAGTGTATAGTGTAGTGTATAACTGTAGTGTATAAGTGTAGTGTATAGTGTAGTGTATAACTGTAGTGTATAGTGTAGTGTATAAGTGTAGTGTATAATATAGTGTATAATGTAGTGTAATATAATGTAGTGTATAATATAATGTAGTGTATAATATAATGTAGTGTATAAATGTAGTGTATAATGTAGTGTATAAGTGTCGTCTTTCCTCCGCCTCCCGCCCACTTCTCCCCATCGCACACAATCACAGCAACGAACAAACGAAAAGAAAGCCGCTCATCAAAAGGATAAATAGACGTGGATTCTTTTTGTTTATTTACCTCCCCAAGCCATTCCCATTCATGCCCCAACAGCGACACGACAGCAAGCGGTGGGGCGGGAGGCACAGGAGACGAACAGGCCGGAGGTCACGTGCCAAAAAGATCCCCGGACCCTCCACGTAGCCTCGAACAGGCTGCTGGGGGCAAGTGCTGCAAGCAGCAGCTGTGAAGGCCGGTACTGTGGCACACGAGGTCTTTGGTGTGGCGGGAACCACCACCACCACCAACAACATCACCACCACCACCACTCCCCCGTGTGGCCTCTAACAGGCTGCTGGGGGCAAGTGCTGTTAGTTGCAGCTGTGAAGGCCAGACCTGTGGCACACGAGGTCTTTGGTGGCTGGAACCACACCACCACCAACATCACCACCACACACCAACATCACCACCACCACCAACACCACCACTTCCCCGTGTAGCCGGCCTTCATCGGCGCTGCCACTCGCTCGCGACACTTGCCCCGACAGTCTGTTGAGGCTACGCGGGCACGGGGAGGGATCTTTGTCTTTGTGGTGCTGGCCAAACCACACCGCCCCCCCCCCCCTCTCCGTGCCACAGTGCCGGCCTTCATGAGGCGCTGCTCGTTGTTGTTGTTTGTGTGTTTACATTTGTTGTCCTTCCACCCGCACCTCTGACTAGCGACGGCTGGCTACGTACGGCGCGAAGGAAGTTCAACGTACACCACTAGACACACAGACACAACGCTATACTAGAACACTACACGATACACTACAATACTACTACAATACGCTACACCGCTCTACGAGATATAAAATGCATTTCATGAGATGAGCGTGGCGGGACAGGCTGCTGGAAAGGCTGCGTGCCACCACCGAACGGTCCGTTAAGGCTGTGGTGGTGGTGATGGTGGTGGTGATGGTGGTGGTGATGGTGGTGGTGATGGTGGTGGCGATGATGATAAAGATGGTGGTGATGATAAAGGTGGTGGTGATGATAATGATGGTGGTGGTGATGATAATGATGGTGGTGGTGATGATGATAATGATGGTGGTGGTGATGATGATAATGATGGTGGTGGTGATGATGATGGTGGTGGTGATGATGATGATGGTGGTGGTGATGATGATGATGGTGGTGGTGATGTTGGTGGTGGTGATTATGGTGGTGGTGATTATGATGGTGGTGATGACGGTGATGGTGGTGGTCACGATGATGAGGTTATGATTATGATGGTGGTGGCGATGATGATAAAGATGGTGGTGATGATAAAGGTGGTGGTGATGATGATAATGATGGGTGGTGGTGATGATGATAATGATGGTGGTCGTGATGGTGGTGGTGATGATAATGATGGTGGTGATGTTGACGATTATGGTGGTGGTGATGACGGTGATGATGGTAGTCGCGATGATGAGGTTATGATTATGATGGCGATGATGGTGGTGATGATGATAATGATGGTGGTGGTGGTGATGATGACGGTGATGATGGTGGTCGTGATGACGTGGTTATCATGACGGCGGTGGCGACGATGGCGGTGGAGACCATTGCCTGCTGGCGAACCGCCTAACCGAATTTGTTGTTTTGGCGCGCGACTACTGAGAACGCAAACAGGAACCCTGGGCTAACATTTAAAATAAAACCCCGACCGCACGACTGCACGACTTCGCGAGCCGCGGGCGGGCTGCTCTCCGATTCAGGTCTCCGTCAGGACTCTCAAAGTGGTCTTACCCCCCCCCGCCCGCCCCCAGCGCACGATTCAAACGATGAGACGACTCCATCCGTCTGCGTCCGGTTGTTGTCTAACGTACGGTTGTCTAAGTCCGGTTGGCACTGCGCGGTTCCCGATGAAGGGCACATTCGTTGACCTGCGTCGTCCGTCACGCAGACGGGACAGGGCAGGGGGTAGGGGTCAGAGGTCGGCGAGGCCGAAGGGTTCTGCAGCCACAGCGGCAATTAGCATGACCACGCTCGCTCACCCACGCTCGCCGCTCACCCACGCTCGCTCGCTCACCCATCGCTCGCCACGCACGCACGCTCACCCACCCACGCTCGCTCACCCACCACGCACGCTCACCCACCACGCACGCTCACCCACCACGCACGCTCACCCACCACGCACGCTCACCCACCACGCTCGCTCACCCACCACGCACGCTCACCCACACGCACACTCGCCACGCACGCTTGAGCACAGCACGTACGCTCACCGCACACACACGCTCACCACGCAAGCTCACCATATACGCATGCTCACAGCACACGTACACTCACCGCACATGCAAGTTCACCACACACGCTTACCACACATGCTCACCACACACACACGCACCCTCACCACACACACACATCCTGACCACACACACACACACACACACGCACGCACCTTTGTTGCGAACCGTAGCGAGTTTAGCGTCTCGGAGAAGTTTGTCCTCCGAAGGGCTGAGGTTGATGAACATCAACCTGCGGGGTGGGTGGGAGGGAGGGTGAGTGGGTGTGTGGGTGGGTACGTGGGTGGGTGGGTACATGGGTGTGTGGGTGAGTGTGTGGGTGAGTGTGTGGGTGGGTGAGTGTGTGGATACGTGGGTGAGTGTGTGGGTGGGTGGGTACGTGTGTGGGTGAGTGCGTGGTTGGGTACATGGGTGAGTGTGTGGGTGGGTGCATGGGTGGTGTGTGGGTGAGTACGTGGGTGAGTGTGTGGGTGAGTGTGTGGAGTGGGTGTGTGGGTGAGTGTGTGGGTGGGTGTGTGGGTGAGTGTGTTGTGGTGAGTGTGTGGGGTGGTACGTGGATGAGTGGGTACATGGGTTGGGTGCGTGGGTGGGTCGAGTGTGTGGGTGGGTGGGTGTGTGGGTGGGTGAGTCGGTGAGTGTGTGGGTGGGTGTGTGTGTGGGTGAGTGTGTGGGTGAGTGGGTGAGTGTGTGGGTGGGTGTGTGTGTGGGTGAGTGGGTGAGTGTGTGGGTGGGTGTGTGGGTGGGTGCGTGGGTAGGTGAGTGCGTGGGTGAGTGTGAGAGTTGGTGCATGGATGCGTGCGTGGGTGCGTGGGTGGTTAGACAACACAGACCTTGTTTACCGCATGGACCCCGCCAGACGGGTTTTGCCAAGTCGAGGAGCTTTCACATTAACGCCACAAGAGGCTGTTTTTGTTTGGCTCAGATCTCGCCAATGTACTCATTATAAATGTGTCGCTAACCCGCCAATTAGTAACGCAACCTTGCCGATTGCATGCGTCGGGTCGGTGGCGGGTTTGACGACACCCATTTTATTTACGCCATCTCACCACAACATCTCCATTGTGGATATTGGTCGGGAAGCCACCTCCTGCTACTACTGCTACCACCACCACCACCACGTGTAAAACCGACATTTGACGCCACGCAGAGGCATTCTGTGCAACCAGGTGAGGACACGTGCGGCCTTCATAGGTGCTCGCTAACAGCACTTGCCCCTACAGTCTGTAGGCTATACGGGGGATCTTTTGTCTTTGTGTGGGTCCGTGTGGGTGTGTGTGCGCGTGGTCTGGTTGGGTGGGTGAGTGGGTGCGTGTGGGTGGTGTGGGCAGTGTGGGTGCGTGTGGGTGGTGTGGGCAGTGTGTGGGGTGGTGCGTGTGGTGTGTTCTGGTTGGGTGTGTGTGCGTGTGGGTGGGTGGTGTGGGTGGTGTGTGCGTGTGGGTGGTGTGGGCAGTGTGTGGGTGGGTGTGGGTGGTGTGTGTGCGTGTTCTGGTTGGGTGTGTGTGTGTGTGGGTGGGTGGTGTGGGTGTGTGTGCATGTAGTCTGGGTCCGTTTGGGTGTGTGTGCGCGTGGTCTGGTTGGGTGGGTGTGTGCGTGGTGTGGGCAGTGTGTGTGGTGTGCGTGCGCGTGGTGTGTGTGGGTGTGTGCGTGTGTGTGGGTGTGTGTGTGCGCGCGTGGTTGGGTGTGTGGGTGCGTGTGTGCGGGGTCTGGTTGGGTGGATGTGTGCGTGGGTGTGGGCAGTGTGTGTGGTGTGCGTGCGCGTGGTGTGGGTGTGTGTGGGTGTGTGGGTGTGTGGTGTGTGTGTGTGGGTGTGTGTGTGTGTCGTGCGCGTGGTGTGGATGTGTGGGTTGTGTGTGCGCGTGGTATGCGTTGGGTGGTTGTGTGCGTGGGTGGGGCAGTGTGTGTGTGGTGTGTTTGCTGCACATGGTGGTTGGGTGTGTTGTGCGCGTGTGTGCCGTGTTGGTTGTGTGTGTGTGTGTGTTGTGGGTAGCGTGGTGTGTGTCCGTTGTGCCGTGCGCGTGGTGTGGGTGTCGTGTGTGGGCCCGTGGTGTTGTGTGGGTGTGGTGTGGGTGTGCCTGTGTGTTGTTGTGTGTGATGGTGTGGGTGTTGTTGTTTGTGCGCTGTGCGTGTGGTGTTTGCGTATGTGTGAGTTGTGTCGTGTGTGTGTGTGTGCGTGCGCGTGGTGTGGGTGTGTGGTGTGTGCGTGCGCGTGGTGTGGGTGTGTGGGGTGTGTGTGTGTGTGTGTGTGGTGTGGGTGTGTGTGTGCGCGTGGTGTGGGTGTGTGTGTCGCGTGGTGTGGGTGTGTGGTGTGGGTGTGTGTGTGTGTGGGTGCGTGTGTGTGTGTGTGCGTGCGCGTGGTGTGGGTGTGCCACCACCTACGTCTTTGAGTTCCCTCCCAGGCAGTTCTGCAGGAGGTACGTGAGCTTGGAGTTGCGGTACGGGATGTGCTGCTCCTGTACCGACACAGGGGGGGGGGGTGACACGGCGAATGGGTGACATAGTGACACGGCGAATGGGTGACATAGTGACACGGCGAATGGGTGACATAGTGACACGGCGAATGGGTGACATAGTGACACGGCGAATGGGTGACATAGTGACACGGTGAATGGGTGATATAGTGACACGCCGAATGGGTGACACAGTGACACGGCGAATGGGTGACAGTGACACGGCGAATGGGTGACATAGTGACACGGCGAATGGGTGACATAGTGACACGGTGAATGGGGATATAGTGACACGCCGAATGGGTGACATAGTGACACGCCGAATGGGTGACATAGTGACACGGCGAATGGGTGACATAGTGACACGGCGAATGGGTGACACAGTGACACGGCGAATGGGTGACATAGTGACACGCCGAATGGGTGACACAGTGACACGGCGAATGGGTGACACAGTGACACGGCGAATGGGTGACATAGTGACACGGCGAATGGGTGACATAGTGACACGGCGAATGGGTGATATAGTGACACGGCGAATGGGTGACATAGTGACACGGTGAATGGGTGACATAGTGACACGGTGAATGGGTGACATAGTGACACGGCGAATGGGTGACATGGTGAATGGGTGACACGGTGAATGGGTGACATAGTGACACGGCGAATGGGTGACACGGTGAATGGGTGACATGGTGAATGGGTGACACAGTGACACGATGAATGGGTGACATAGTGACACAGCGAATGGGTGACATAGTGACACGGCGAATGGGTGACACAGTGAATGGGTGACACGGTGAATGGGTGACAGTGACACGGCGAATGGGTGACACGGTGAATGGGTGACATGGCGAATGGGTGACACGGTGAATGGGTGACATAGTGACACGGTGAATGGGTGACACGGTGAATGGGTGACATAGTGACACGGTGAATGGGTGACATGGTGAATGGGTGACATAGTGACACGGCGAATGGGTGACACGGTGACGGGAGTTCGTGACATGGTGAATGGGTGACACGGCAACATGGTGACGGGGGTTAGGGTGCCATGGGGGCGAGGGTAGCGGGAAGAGGGTGTTGGGGGCGAGGGTGTTGAGGGGTTGGGGGTGTTGGGGGGTTGGGGGTGTTGGGGGTGGCGAGGGTGGCGAGGGTGTTGAGGGTGTTGAGGGTGTTGGGGGTGTTGGGGGTGTTGGGGTGTTGGGGGCATTGGGGGTGTTGGGGGTGGCGAGGGTGACGGACCTTGTTGGACAGCGCCATGATGACGAGCGCCAGGCTCGTGAGGCTGCTGTTGATGTGCTGCGCCTCCTTGAGCCGCTCGCCCGTCGACTGCGACTTGTCCAGCCGCTCGCTGCCAGCCAGGTCCACCAGGTTCAGCTGGGCTGCACACACGTGGACACGCACGCACGCACGAGTCAACACTCAGGCACGCGCGAACACACAGGCACGCGCGAACACACAGGCACGCGCGAACACACAGGCACGCGCGAACACACAGGCACGCGCGAACACACAGGCACGCGCGAACACACAGGCACGCGCGAACACACAGGCACGCGCGAACACACGGGCACGCGCGAACACACAGGCACGAGTCAACACACAGGCACGCGCGAACACACAGGCACGCGTCAACACACAGGCACGCACGAACACACAGGCACGCGTCAACACACAGGCACGCGCGAACACACAGGCACGCGTCAACACACAGGCACGCGCGAACACACAGGCACGCGTCAACACACAGGCACGCACGAACACACAGGCACGCGTGAGCACACAGGCACGAGTCAACACTCAGGCACGATCTTCCTGGTTCTTTCGGTAAAGTCACGTAGAATGGAAATAAAAAAATAATAAAAATTTAACATAATAAAATTATATATTATATTATTTTAAAATGTTTTATTGTTATTATTTTATTATTTCAATTCTACGTGAAATAATAAAAATAAAACATAATAAAATAAAATATATTATAATATAATATTATTTTATTATGCTTTACTTTTATTATTTTATTAATTCCATTCTACGTGACTTTACCGGAAGAACCAAGAAGATGAATCCCTGCAGTCACGAATGCTTTAAATCGAAACTCAAGCAAGCGTGAGCACGCACGAACACGCATGCGTGGACACACAGACACGCGGGAACACGCAGAATACACGCGTCCACAAGCTCGCACAAAGACAAAGATCCCCCGCGTAGCCTCTAATAGACCGTTGGGGCAAGGTGTTACGGAGCATCTATGAAGGCCGGGGCACGGCACGTGAGGGGGTGGGGCGGGTGGTCAACAGCACGTCCCGGCCGTGTCTCCCCGGTGATGACGTGCGTGTGTGCGTGCGTGTGTTGCTGCGTGAGTGTGTGCTTCTACACGTGAACTGCTACCCCGTCACGTGGGTGTGTGCGTGTGAATGCGTATGTGTGCGTGCGTGCGTTGCTGCGTGTGTGTGCTCCTACACGTGAACTGCTGCCCCGTCACGTGGGTGCGTGCGTGAGTGTGTGTGCGTTGCTGCGTGTGTGTGCGTGCGTGAGGTGTGTGTTGCTGCGTGTGTGTTGCTGCGTGTGGTGTGTGCGTAGGTGCGTGTGTGTGCGTGCATGTTGGTGTGTACGTGCGTGTGTGGCGCGTGCGCGTGTGTGCGTGCGTGCGTGCTCCTACACGTGAACTGCTGCCCGTCACGTCGTTGCTGCCGCGGATGTGCAGCTGGAAGACGCTGTGGCTGCGGGACGAGCGGTTGTTGGCGGCGGTGGACGCCACGGAGCGGTTGCCCTTGGCGATCAGCAGCAGGCGCTCCAGCTGGTGGGGGGGGGGGGGCAACGCGAGGTCACATCGCACGCTAGCTCTACCGCAGCACGCTAGCGCTACCGCAGCACGCTGGCGCTACCGCAGCATGCTAGCGCAGAAGTACGCGAACACAGCGTGTCACAGCGACACGGTAGCACGGTGGCACAGCGTGCGTCAACTCGCAACGGCACGACAGCACAGCGCGCAAGAACAGCCCCCTAACACACTAACGCACGCGCACACACACATCACGCGCCACGCACTGCAAGACGCACCAATAGCGGCTATTCGCCACCAGGTGACGGAGTGGCAGGCCAGACGCACACAAAACACCCCGCACACACGCGAACCGCTGCGCCACCGCACAACAAATACAAAGACCCCCCGTGTAGCCTGTAACAGACTGTTGGGGGTGCCGTGAAGGCTACCGGCGCTGTGGTACACGAGGGGCCGGGTGGGCCAGCAACCACGCCCGGCCGCCTTTGTCTCCCCGGTGGCGATGTTTACCGCACACCGCACCGGGTACTCATTTGAGGCCGAGTCGACCTAGGGGAGGCACCGGCGTCGGCCGTGAGCGGGACTTGACCTCGGGTCGCCGGGTTCGTAGCGCTGACCGCTACACTACCACGTCGGCTTCTGGAGACCAATAGAAATCCATGATGCAGGTTACATTTCGATGTAAAGCTTTCGTGACTGCAGGGATTCATCTTCTTGGTTCTTTCGGTAAAGTCATCACGTAGAAGGGAAATAATAAAATAATAAATAATAAAACATAATAAAATAATTCTCACGACGTTTCGGCCACAACGCAAGCAGCCGTCCTCAGGTGAAGAACAGGTCTGTCGGAAAGTCAAAAGCTGTCTTTCCGACAGACCTGTT